TCACTCCCATCACCGCTCGCGCGGCTGCATTCTGGACTAACTGGAGCCTCCGAGTGCTCCTCAAGGGGAGCCCCATGTAGAGAGCATTGCAGTAGTCCAGGCGGGAGGTGACAAGAGCGTGGGTAACTGTGCGCAAGGCATCCCGGTCCAGAAAAGGTCGCAACTGGCGAACCAGGCGTACCCGGTAAAACGCCCCCCTTATTCGTCTATATTAAGGTTAACTTTCTTATAGTTTACCTGCAAAATATTTATTGGTGCAGGAAACAAAAATATAGAGCTACTAAAATTCAGACAGTATATAGAAGAACCTCCAATCAAAAACCTGCTCATTTGGAGACAGTTTTGATTTAAAGAGGTGCCAATTAGCTTAAAACACACAGGTATTGGATTAAGACAATCATTACCAGAAGCAAACTATTACCTAGTAGATACAGAAAAGAAATTAAGCTTAGCATAGTTTTTAGCTCATTTGTTTGTGTTCCTGCAGAGGATGGCTGATTCTTGATATAGATATTATCTGTGTGCTGATTTCTTGCAAATTTTGGCTTAGCTTTAACTTAAGGAGAGATAGGTTTTCAAACTTTCATCTAGCAACTTCTGCTTGATTTTTTTAAAAAAAGATTTCCTTTCTAATAGAAAAAGAGAATCTGCATGTTTATATGTGTCAAAACCATTTGCTTTTGCTGAGATGATCAAGATATTAATTGTCTATGCTGGCAGTTGCCATCTGCCTTGAAAGAGGGTCCAACAGGCTGAAATAATAGGATATGGATAGTCTGCTCCTTTATTACAAGGTCAAGAAATCAAGCTTTATGAGGAAGTGTGAAAAGTATTGGGCCTACTGAGTTTCCAGCCATGTTCAAGAGATGACAAATCTGTTCTCTTTTAAAACTTAGAGCCATGTAAGGGCCAATTATTTTTAAAGAAAGAAAGCAAAGCTGAAACACTTGTTCCCTTCCTACTAGAGGTTTTGTTAATGCTGGCTTACTGAGGCTGCTACACCCTCCAAGAAGTTTAAAGTTTATTTCTTTATTAAATTTATGTCCTGATTTTTTCCAGAAGGTTAATATAAGACCTGCTCTTTCCTGTACGTTCTGTGATACTTGTCCTGAGCAGGCTTACTTGAAAGTAATTATGTTGACTCCCTGGACAGTACTTTCACTACATTCTGAACTGCGAAGATGGGCAGCATATACATTTAATAAATAAATAAGCATCTAATGCTTTATAAATGCATAGTTATATTTGGTTTATTTACTGTGAACTTTCTATATTAAAAACTATGCCAAAGTCAATACAGTTATAAGGATATAATTGTATTTCATCAAATTATTTCCATGGTGTTTTAAAGTACTGAAGTTATTTTGGAATATGTATACAGATAATAGTACTCTATTTGTATTTATTTTAAAAACATATTTTAAAATTAAGAACAATGTAGGCTAATGTAGTCCGATTATACATGAAAGGCTGTGTTTCTGCTTCAGCATGATTCAAATACTGGGAGAACCTAAGCCATAAAATGCTGCAGTCTAGGAAATGTGCTATTGCTCACTGTGCAGCAGTTGCTAGGCAACCTTTTTCTTCTGAATGCCTGCTGAACAGCAGAGAGTATAATGGCAGCATTGCAGCTAAAGGAGTAGCAGCTAAAAAAAAATTTTTGCAGTGATATTTCAAAGCAATCTAATCATGTAAGCTTCAAGTTTGCAGCATTAGCTGTTGTGATACAGCAAAGCTCCTGGGAAGTCCAGAATCATAAAGATAAAAACAAAAAAGGAGTAAGGGCAGATTAATGGTGGAAAGATAGCTGCAAGGAAATGCACATAGACCAAATGATTTATAAGAAGAATGAGCCAGAGATCATCACACAAGCTCACTGAAGACTACAACCAGCATTGAAATTAAACAATGGACAGAAACAGGAGCATAAACATGCCCAATAAATACATCAAGTTGTGATTTGTACATTAAAAATCTATTGTAAAGAAATTCAGAGCCTTTCTGAATAGTGCATGGAAACCACAAAGAGAAGATTTTAGTTTAACAAAGAAAAATTTAGAGGAAACATTTACGTCTTCAACTACAGTTATTTCGTTCATGTATTTATAAAACTGAATGTTAATTTATAATAGCTACTACGTATTTAGTATTAAGTATCCATTATCTTTTATTTTTTAATAGTTCATTTGGGAGCGGCTTGCTGCTGGCTTTAAACACAAGAACTATCGTTCACGAGAAGGCGTGTGTCTGTGTCTTGTTGCAACATTAAATGCGTATGTATTTTGATTTTATTAAAAAGCTCTTAAATTACCTTAATGATGGGACATTTTCTTACATTTTGTACTATTTAAGATCCTAAACTGAAAACAGGATTTTCACTAATTCATTCCTCGTGCTCCAGATGTAAGATTTCAATAATTAGATAATAGAACTGCTATTGATTGATGTTATTGATTCTTTACATGATAGGGGGAAAATAACCTTGCTGCATTTTTGTTTTGTTTTCTTAGTTATGGTGCACACTCACTAATTCTCAGCAAACTGGTGCCACACTTATGTCTTTTGTCTGGAGACTCCAATAGCCAGGTAAGATTATTATAGTTGAGCATCACAACAAGCCCGTATAGAATTTGATTTCTCTGTTGGTATTATCTCTGAAGAAAGATTACAGATGGGCAAGCAGCTAGACAGACAGGCAGGCAGGCAGGTTCTCTAAAATAACAGGGAAAGTTGGTTGTCCAGCTCCTTATGGGCAGCTTCCCCAAGTTTTGGGTTTTTTCTAACATATTTTATATTTTATACAATAGAAATAGAAATAATATACAATATTTTTGTATTAATACAGCTTCTCTGATCACATGACAAATGAATTAACTTAGTTCTTGTCCTGGATCTCTTACTCTAATAAACTTTTTCATTTTGAAAAACTTTTCCATCACCCAGAAAATGTGCATATGGATTTCAAACATGCTACATTTTATTTGTGTGTGTGTGTGTGTGTGTGTGTGTGTGTATAAATACATTTATAAGAGCTTTAGCAGAAATATTGGGGAGCAGATTTTAAAAAGGCATATCACATGAAATAAATTTTAATTGTTATAAGACTGTTCAAGTTTCAGTTAACAAGTTGTAAGTTGCCTTACAGTTATATCATTATGTAGTCTAAATTTGAATCCTACATGAATTTAGTTACTGTTTTATCTAGAGATATTTATTTCTTAATTCCATGGCACAAGACTATTTTAATTCAGTACCTTATGATGAACCAAACTGTGCTCTCAAAAGAATGCCTGTTTGTGGAGGCATTGATACAAGAACTTATAATTAAACAGGAATCAGTCATTTGAAGTCCATAGACAAACAGCTCTGAATATGCCTCACTCTAGCATCTTGGGAGGTCTACAGTACTTAAATAGGTCGTTTTGCCTGGTCAATAAGTCTGTTTCCTTATATGTCTCAGAGAGGGTTCTGGTTGCCGCTGACTGTCCTATGACTAATGACTGGATTTATTTCAAAAAAACAGTGTAGCACTGCCTATTACACATTTGCCACTCAGATGGTTACCAATCCTGCAGTTACCTGTCCTCCACTTACTACTATAATTGAGCCTGCTCATTACAGTAGTAAGCCAATCATAAGGCAGATCATCAGGTGAAAGATGCAGTGGTCATTAAGCAAATTACCATGGTCATTAAGTGAATCTGAAATTAATAAGCACTGTATGTGTTAACTAAACCCTTTGTTCACTATGGGTGTAGCAGGCTTGAAATACTATCATGTGACCACACAGGGATTGGAGTGGCAGTCGTAAGTATCTTTTGGGGGAGTGTCCTTCATAACTTTGAACAGTTTCTAAGTCATCATCATCATCATCATTTTAGCCATTGTCTATCCACTGCAGGGTGAAGGCCTGTTTCCAATCTGTCCTGAGCTTTCTTTTGCCAATAGGGCTCACAATACTTGCTGATGTCATTGATCCATCTAGTTTTCGGTCTCTTTTGTGGGCACTTTTTATCAGGTGGGATCCATTGTATGACTGCCTTGGTCCACCTGCCATCAGTTCTTCTTGCTATGTGATCAGCCCATTTCCATTTCAATTCTTTTACTCACTTGATGATATTGTATACTTTCGTTTGTTCTCTAATCCACGTGCAGGTCTTCCTATCATGCCTTGTAATGCCGAGCATGTATCTTTCCGTGGCTCTTTGTGTCACTCATAACTTTTGTATCGATTGTGAGGTTAGTGTTCATGCTCCACTGGCATATGTTAGAGTAGGTAGCACACACTGATCGAAAACTTTTCTCTTCAGGCACAGGGGGATGTTGTTCTTGAAAATTATGCTTAGTTTGCTGAATACCTGCCAACCACATTTAACACGCTGTTCAATTTTCTTTACTGCATCACCTTCCACTGAGATCCATTGGTCAAGGTATATGTAATGGTCTACTACGTCTAGTTCCTCTCCAGATAAATAAAACATTTTTTTCTTTGGTGAATTTATTAAACATAACCTGGCTCTTTTTCAGGTTTATTTTTAAGCCAAATGGTTCTCCTGCTTTGTGCAGCTCTTGTATGTGTCTTTGTAGCTCTTCTGGGTCTTACACGGAAAAAAAACCATCATCTGCAAATCTTAAGTGATTTAAATAGCCACCATTAATTTTTATTCTATCTTTTGCCCAGTCTAATTGTGAAATACTTCTTCAAGGCAGGGTGATATTGTATCATCTTGTCAAACACCTCATTCTATGTTGATTTCCACTTTATGGTCATTAAGGCAAATTGTCGCCATTGTTTTTTTCATATATTCATTGTAGTAAGTTTATGTAAGCAGTGTCTAAGCTTGGTTGAGCAATGCATTAATTATTGCTTGCTGAAATATTGAGTCAAACGCCTTTTCATAGTCAATGAAAGCTATGCTAGTGTATTTGTTATGTCTTTTAATGACTTGCTGGACAACCTGGATGTGATCCATTGTGCTGTAACCATTTCTGGATCCTTCCTGCTCCTTTGGCTGTGCATCATTTAACATTGTCAATATTCTTTTTGCTATTATCTTGGTGAAAACTTTGTAGATGACTGAAAGAAGGCTTATTGGATGATCATTCTTTAAATCATCTTGGGCCCCTTGTGTATAAGAATCACTTCAATATTTTTCTATGCATCAGGTATTTTTTCTTCTCTGAGGCATCTCAAGTGTAGTTTTGCTAGTATCTTGCATAAACTGTGACAACCAACTTTCAGCATTTCAATTTCTAAGTAATCAGTCATAAGTTGAAGATTATCTGTAGTTGTGGTATATTAAATTACCATCATGAATATGTGAAGAGAACTGGAAGCTATCATTCTTACTTTGGATTATTATGTAATTGATGTCATTTTTTATGGAATTAATTGTGATTGATGGCCTTGTCAGAATTGGACAAATTGTGATTTTTAATTTTTTTTACAGTGGCTCTTTTAAATTTTATACTTTTGCTATACATCCTGTTTATAGTGTAAACTGTCAAAAGTCTATGATAGATTTGGAAGGTTTTAAATATGATTCATAAATAAGGGCCAGTAGATATTATAGTTATAGCTAAATACACCATGTTTGATCAGTGATATTACTGCAACAGTGATACAAAGCAAATAAGGGTAAACATTTCCTTTGTTCTATATACTTTTATTGAGGAATCATATCTGTCTAGTGCAGATAGATAATCCTCGACTTAACAACAGTTCATTTAATGATGATTCAAAGTTACGATGCCACTGAAAAATGCCACTTATGACCATTTTCATACTTACGACCATTGCAGCTTTCCCATGGTTACATGACCAAAATTCAGATGCTTGTCGATTGACTCATATTTATGATAATTTTAGTGTCTCAGGGTCATGTGATCACCTTTTGTGACCTGCTGACAAGCAGAGTCATTGGGAAACCAGATTCACTTAATAACCATATTACTAACTTAACAACTGCAGTGATTCATTTAACAACTGTGGCAAGAAAGTTCATAAATTGGGCAAAACTCACTTAACAAATGTCTCACTTAGCAACATACATTTTGAACTTAATTGGGGTCTGAAGTCGAGGACTAACTGTATAGTGTATTATGAAATATTAAATTCCAGGAAGTTACCAAGACAGCTTATTTTAGCATCTTTCAGATTTGTTGATGAGCATCATTGCCCCTCCCCCCAAAAAACCAGTGTTTCAGGTAACAAGTTAAAATTTAAGTCAACTTGTTTCAGTGTTTTCTTTAGGTGTATAAATTTTGAATGGTAGAAAGATGTAGAAAGAAATGGTGGAAGAAAGATAACTTAGATATTAAACTCAGCAAATTATTATACCTTAAAATATTTGTTACCAGTTTGTACTGCATATTCACAGGTGAGAGACGCTGCAATTTTGGCACTTGTGGAGATTTATAGACATGTAGGAGAAAAAGTAAGAGTAGATCTTAACAAGAGAGGAATTCCTGCTGCAAGGTGAGTTTAATACTTGTCCTAAAGGCTATTAATATTACTTAATATATATTACTATGATTATGTATGCATACACGTATTAAAATCCTTCATGAGATTTTATTCTCAAGCTAGTATAAAGATTTTTGGGGAAGTAAGTTGATCTAACATAGTGCCTGAAGACAATATTAATATAGGTCAGAACAATGCCATCCTATTTGCTAGTTTGTAGTTGAAACCTCCTGCATAAACAACCATTTTATCATGTTCTGCTCAGTTAGAACAGAAATTCCTTAGAAAATGTAACATTATAGGGGAAGCTATGTTAATCTATGGCAGCCAAAAGTCAGAAGAGTCTAGTAGCACTTTTTCATATTTAGAAGATAATATATAGTTCAGTTCAACAGACGCATAAAATACAAGTACCATCTGATAGAAAACTATTTCAACTTCCCAGGACAATCTATTACACAGCTCAAAGTAACCGTTTCAAGGAAATAAAATAAAATGACATTACAATTGTATGAGAAATTGCTAATCTCACATCAAACATTTCAGGTTACCTCAGAAAATCTCAACAAACAACAATTGGATTTTAATACATTACAGTTAATAGATAATGTACTTGTAATTCAGGTTACATATAAACTCCATTTACATAATCAACCTATATTCCCCTCCTTCTCTATTTCATCCCAATTTACATCTATATCAGTTTAGTCATTGTATCTATCTGATAGAGAACCAGTTTGGTAGAGTTAAGGCATCAGGCTAGAAACTGGGGGATTGTGAATTCTAGTCTTGCCTTGGGATAAAGCAAGCTAAGTGACCTTGGGTTAGTTATGTCTCTTAGCCCTAGGAAAGAGGAAATGGAAAAGCACTTCTGAAAAACGTTACCAAGAAAATTGCAGAAGCTTTTCCAAATAGTCTCTGAGAATTGGACACGATTGATCGAAAGAAAAATAAATTGTATCTGATGTTAAAATTTGTTAGACTGAAAAGATACTACAATTTTTTTTCTGATTTGCATCTTTTCTTTATTGAGGAAGTAGAATAGCCAAACATTTGAAAATCTGTTTTTTGTTTCTCTTGCCATTGGTTTGACAATTTTTGTTGGAGTCTAACATCCTTTAAATGCTACTGGAAAGTAAGGTTGCCTTAAATGCTCAAAGAAATTCATAGGAAAATAATGTTGTTAAAACTTAGCCTTAACTAAAATTATATGGATCTATAGAATTGATTCTCCAAAATCTTGGAGAGTAACAGAAGAGAAAGTAAAAGCTAAAATAAAAATGCCTATATGAAATATTGGGAAAGTTCTAATGGAAAAGTTCTCATTAGGTTATTCCAATAAACTAATAAATCCCTTTTCCCCAAAAAGAATACCTCTATACATTAGAAACAATATAGAACTCTTTCATTAAGCTTTTGTCTCTTTTGCATGAAAAGACCAACTTGCCTCCTGCCAATTCTTACAATAAATTATCGATCCCAAATGTAAATGTATGATAAATCAAAATATATTTATTTTCTGTATCAATTTTGAGAACTGTCTGGGGAAGAATTATATTCTAGTTTATTGGTTTCAATTTCACTTTGGAAGCATAAATAAAGCAACAATGTGCAGATGTTTAAGTACTTTAAATCTTGTAAAAGTAGAGTTATAAGCTAAAAAGGAATTAACTCCATAAATGTACTGTGTCCACATTGTAAATAATAGTTGATAATTGCTATCAACAAATCTTGCTTAGCATCCATAATCAGTCCACTGGCTTCAGAAAGTTAAGCTAATCAGGGATATAACTATGGATTCTGTGGTGGGGCCACAGAAGCATATATGGAATAGCAGTTATTTTTAGTAATGATACTATTAGGCCTATACACTAGTACTGTTTTCCTGTACGTAGTATGACAATCACATCAGAGTCAAATCATGCCAGCATTGTGAAAAAAAGATGATAAATACAGATAGTCCTTGACTTATGATCATTCATTTAACAACAGTCCAAAATTACAACAGTCTCAGAAATGATGTTCATAAAACATTTTGGTCATTGTAAAATAATTGCAACCCCACCACCATCCTCGAACATTTAATTGCAATCTGGATGCTTCCCCATTGACTTTCTGAGGAAGATGGCAGAAAAGATTGCTAAATGGCGATCACATGATTGCAGAAAGTTTGGCAAACTATCATAAGTGGCATTGTATGCACTTATGATCGTTTGCCAAACATCCTGCAATCATGTGATCGCCATTTAGCAATCTTTTCTGCCATCTTCCTCAGAAAGTCAATGGGGAAGCCAGCAGGGAAGATTACATGCTGTAGCCTGGGACTCTGTCTTATCTCTTGGGCCTGGCTGAAAGAACTGTTGCCTGAGGATAGTTTCACTCCTTTGGTGGGACGTAGATGTCAGTTCCTGCATCCTGTCAAAAGGGTTCCATTCCAAACATAAAGGAGAACTGAACTCCTTCGGGTGATACGGGCTACATTCCTACACTCTGCTGAAGAAGTTCTCTTTCGTGCATGGAGGTAAGCTGAACACACTTCAAAAGGCAATTCTTCAGGCTAGTCTCCAGAAATGAGAGAAAGTTGAAATCCAAGCAGAAAGTCAGCAGGTAAGGTGAGAAGCTCAGGGTACTTCAGTCAGATGGGGAAGGCCTGGCATAACCTCATACAAGTGTTTCTTGCTCAGGGACTGAAAATCCTGCTTGGACTTTGGCAGAGAGTATTTTCAACTCCTGAACAAAAAAAATGCAGCGTTAAGGAAAAGAATGAAGGTGCCTTAACGCAGTTCTTTTCAACATTTTCACAGATTGTACCACTTTTAGGATATGGCAGTATTTGAGTACTACCAGTCACCTAGCAAGGTGTCAAAACATGATGACCAAAAAAGAAAGAAAGAAAGTGATAAAGTACAAGTAATCCTTGACTTGCAACAGTTCGCTTAGTGACTGTTTGAAGTTACAACGGCCCTGAAAAAAGTGACTTATGGCCATTTTATACACTTATGACCGTTGCAGCATCTCCAGGGTCACGTGATTTACATTTGGATGCTTCGCAAGCGATTCATATTTATGATGGCCACAGTGTCCCAGGGTCCTGTGATCCCCTTTTGCAACCTTCTGATACGCCAAGTCAATGGGGAAGCCAGATTCACTTAACCGTGTTACTAATTTAACAAGTGCAGTGATTCACTTAACAAATGTGGCAAGAAAAGTCATAAAATGGGACAAAACTCATTTAATAAATTTTTCACTTAGGAACATAAATTTTAGGCTCAGTTGTGGTCGTAGGTTTAGGACTATTTATACACCCACTTACCACACTTTTAATGGGAAACTTGTGCCTGTTTCTCTGACATTAATCTTTGCACTGTTCATTCCTCTTCTCCTGGTTGACTCAAAGAAGCCTCTTCTCCATCTCTCTTTGTCCGTCCCCTTCTCTTTCCCTGTTGTGTTTTTTTCTCTTCCTTTCTCTCCAAAACCACTTCCTTTTATTTTCTCTCCTCTCTCCCCTCCTTCTCCTTTTCTCTTTGATGCACCTCCAGTTGACTCCTCTTCCCAAGGCTGTGTGTTTCTCCATCTCTCTTTCTCCATCTCCTTCTCTTTCCCCGTCATGTTTTTTTCTCTCTCTTTCCTTCCAAAGCCTCCTTTTATATCAGTGGTGTCAAACTTAAATTCAATGAGGGCCGCATCAGCATTATGGTTGCCCTCAAAAAGCTGGGTGAGCGTGGGCGAATGGGCATGGCTAGCTCGACCCTACTCACTGGACATAGCTGACTCGAGACAGCTGGGTTGGGGTGGAACAAGTCACACTGGCTAACTCAATGTGGGGTCAACTTGGTGTCCCACAAGAACCTTGCCTCCCCAAACTGCTGGCAGCCAAGTGCGTGCACACACGCACAATCACAAACATGCACATTACATTCCAAGTTTGGGGACTTTTATCCACAGAGGAAGGAGAGGGCCTCCTCCCCAAGCTCAGGCATGATTGGCAGTTTGCTAGCTCAGATGTGGATACAAGTCTCTAAGCTTGGAATGTTGTGTGTGTGTTTGTGTGCATAGCACACTAAAGGAAATGTTCTTCTCCCAATCCCAGACATTGTTGGTGTTTCCCTATTCGGTGCCCCCTCTTGGCAAAACAGGAGGTGGAGGACAACGCTCCTGCGTGTTGGAAGCGCAGAGGAGAAAGTTTGCAGGAAGCAGTTCCCTCTGAGTCCAACTTCTGCCTTGACAAATCTCTGGAGAACAAGAGGAGGCGGCAGGGAAGCAGCGCTCCCAGGTCCTGCACAAGGGGGGCTCGCCCTTCTCGAAAGGGAATTCCCATTTATAATCCTGCGTGGTAAGGATGCTGGCTTGTTAGGGTAGCCTTCTCTCACACAGTTCCCCTGCCACCCCCTCCTCCTCCTCTCCAGAGATCTGCAGGGGAGACAGAGATCTGGAGGGCAAGGTGCAGCCTCCATATTGGCCACTTCTACCTCTCCAAGCCCTCCTCAATTAAAGATACATTATATATAAATTAAAACACAGCCAAAAAGAAAGCAGTTAAATCGCTAATTATAGCTCTTCACATATTTTCTGGAAAAATCACCTTTATTGATGTTAGGAAGGAGGAGCAAACCTTATTAAGGAACTTTTAACAGGAAGAGATTTGAAGACCTGAAAAGATCTTGTTCTTTCTAATCTGCTTTCCTTTTGAGCCTTTAGTTCTAATCATTTTATTATTATGTATTTAAGAAGAAGATCAAAGGCCATAAAGATAGAGGCCTTCAGCCTCCCAATCCCTGCTTATAGCAAAACCTCCTTGTATTTCGGCGAGGTTCAGGCCATACTCCCGCAATCAAAGGAAAAACCCAAATCCAGCGGACCAGAAGGAAGCCCAGTCACTGCGTCCCTCCAGTTCCTTCTCTTCGGCCCCTGGGCCCAGACGCAGTCGCTGCTCCTCACCACAGCTGGGGATGCACTTGTAAGTATGTACGTCCACTTTGTCCTGCAAAGCGGTGCTCACCTGGCACTCTTGT